TTGTCAGAACTGCAACATGGCATCTATTGGTTCAGAAAAACACTTGGAACAAGCTTTTCAAGTGAGAAGTGTTGGATCCCTGAGAGGGACATGACCTCTCAGTGGTTTACATTCTCACTCATACTAACTATTACTACTACTACTATACTACTTACTATACTATACTCTACTTATACTACTAATACTACTACTACTACTACTCTGCACCTCTCCTTCCGACAGTATTTAAGTCTCCGCACTGGTCACTTGATCTTTCAGAATAAGTTCTGATATGGAAACTGAAACTTCTCAGGCCGAAGGGACTGACAACTCATATTCTACGACTACAAGGGTGATGGACTGATTACATCGTTTCACCATCTCTATGTTTCCTGCCTATTTCTGTATTCGACTGAAGACAGTCTACTGATGTAGGCGAAACGTTTTGGAATAAAGTTGTCTAAACTGTTGCATATGGGTCTTACATAACAACCCTGTCGGTTTTGTTTACCATTTTGAGTTCCACTCGGACTCAAGGGATTGAGGGAATCTGATTACCTCATTCTCCTCCTTGATTCTTCAAGTTTCTCCTACGTATGGACTGTATGATCGCCACTGTGTGGCGAAACTAGCGATTCCTTCAATAAAAGACTACCAAGAGTTGCAACTAGTGTGTAATGTTATCAACAGGTATAGAGGTTTGGTAGGTAAGACGCTAGGAGAACAGTTAGGCAACTTTATTCGAAAAAGTTTAGCCTATGCAGTCAGGCTTCTTCAGTCGAATACAGAAAGTAGGCAGGAACAGTAGAGATGTGAAGAACGATGTAATCTGTCCATCACCCTTGAAGTCGGAGAATTTGAGGTTGTCAGTCCCCATCAGCCTGGAGATGTTCCGTTCCATACGTCAGGAACTATCTGAAGATCAAGCGACAGTTCCTGACTATGGAACTGAAACTTCTCCAGGGCTCTGAGGGACTGAAACTCTAAATTCTCGACTTAAGGGTGATGGATGATTACATCGTCTTCACATCTCTATGTTATGCCTACACTTTCGTTTTCGACTGAAAAGAATCCTATCTGCGTAGGGCTGAAACTTTTCGGAATAAGTTGCCTAAACTGTTGCCTATGTGTCTTACTACCAACCTGTCGGTATTGTCATGCCATTTCTGATGTTTGCAGGTTCATGGTGTCCTCATTTTGAAGATTGTGTAGGTCAGGTTTATTTGTCCCAAGTTGGTGGAACGGGAGCAGGACTCGACATCTTCTCTCACTCTTCTGTGGAAAAAAAGAGGATTCAGAGGCCAAGTCTACGATGGTGCTGCAGGAGACTGGGATGACGACAGGTAGTGGAGGGGGTGTAATTGGTGATGTGGTCAACAGGCTGGTGAGATGTGGGAGTAGGTGGTGGTTGAGGCAGATAATTAGCGTTGTCGGCAGTGGAAGTGGTTTGTAGAAGCTTCAGGAACAGTTGCTTAGGCAAAAGACAGGTTCAAAAAAGGGGCTGTGTTAGCAAGTCACACGTTGGGAAAGCAATCTTGATGTCGGTTGAAGGTGCGGAGTCCGGGAAATTATTGGCGGCATGTTGTTTAAGCCGAGAGATCTCGTTTATAATTAAAACGGAAAGTACCAGGAGTACCCTGATTTGCGAGGTGCGCATTACCACCATGCTGTCAGCACCTTGCAGGGAGCACCATCAGGTAAAATGGAGAGATTGAGTTCTGGATGGAGCGAGCCTGTCGGGTGGCTGGAGAAGAAATCTTTGTTATCTCAGCTTAAGTAGGTGATTAACGGTAGTCTTTTGCAGAAGGTCTTCTTTGATCTTCTTGGACATAATTTTCTTATAGGACATTTAGCTGCAAGAATATGATGGTCACTCTTGCAGTTAAGGCAAGTAGGAGCCAGTAGTGGTGGTACAGAATTTGTAGTCGTGGCTGTCTTTCCCGCAAGAAGAGCAGATCTTCTTTTCCTTGATGTGACAGTCCATTGGTGGCTAGTTGGAGGAATATAGGTTCAGCAGGGGAGAGTATGTTTTTAAAATGATCAGGCCTCGATGTGGGCGACGGGTGGATGAAGTAGTATGAAATGGCCAGTCCATCAGATAGAGCTTGGACAGCTATCTTAAGCATAGAAGAGGCATTGGGAATCTTCGTAATCATGTCCACCGAGGCCTAGACATTTTGTTCCTAGATGGATGACTTGAGTTCTTCGTTAGAGAGGACAGTAATGATCCTGTTCAATCGTTTCACGAAGACAGAACGTTTCGCCCTCAAATAAGTAGAATTGGGGATTAAAAAGGCACAATCGTTCAAAGTCTTGATAGCATTAGTAGTTGGGATTTTTTCGGCTTCCTCGTCGTTGGTGCAGGCGACTAGGAAGGCGTTTTGCAGGGTCAAAATGCCAGAGAATATGACCTATAGGCTGCTTTTAAGGCCAGCTGCAAGTGCAAGCTTCGAGGCATCATTAACCGTAGAACTTGTAAATTTTATCTCCATACGATGAGACATCTTGGTAAAGCAGTGTCACGTGAGGAATGTAAAAAATCCGCTTCCCAACAGGGATCGAAAGGAGACTTCTTGAGAGTAGAGTGACTGTGTCTTGCCAGTAGCAAGGTCAGCAAAGGAATGACGCTTGTATCTCAGATACAACCTACCAACACTCTCGGCGGTTACTTACAGCCAAGACAGGGCTCGCAGCAATGGTTTCAAGTTGGAAAAAATCAGATTCAGGGAGGATGTAGGAAAGTACTGGTTTGGTAATAGAGTTGTGGATGAGTGGAACAAACTCCCGAGTACAGTTATTGAGGCCAAAACGTTGTGTAGTTTTAAAAATAGGTTAGATAAATACATTAGTGGGTGTGGGTGTGTGTGAGTTGGACCTGACTAGCTTGTGCTGCTGGGTCTGGTACAGTGCTCCATCCTTGAGTGGGGATGACCAGACTGGGTGGGTCATTGGGATAATCCACGGGGTGGGTCATTGGTCTAATCCGGGGGGGGGACATGGACCTGCTCCACATGGGTCAGTAGGCCTGTTGCAGTGTTCCTTCTTTCTTATGTTCTTATGTCCGTCTCAGATCTAACCTACCAGTCTCCACCTCTCTCCATCCTATAAATACTCATGTACTATTCACCCAGGTAGATCTGTTTGTGACTTGATAACGCCCAATGAGTGGGTGCAACGTTGTCAATAAAGGATCGCATTATACTGTGTTTGTATTTGTCTCCTTTAGTAACACAGTTCTGACTTCCATGTTGCTTTGACTATGATACGGGCTTCTCCGCATACAGTGCGTCGATTTTCGGATCGTATACATGACTCAGGACGGCCCGGCTTTAACCTTCTGTTCAAACAACCTCGACCTGTCACTGATGACCCAGCCTCAGTTTCCTCTTACGCTTCTAAGAAACTTACAATTAAGCAATTCCCCCCATATACTCAATCTTTCAAAGTCCTCCTTGGACAAAATTCTTTACACTTCAACCAACTTCTACTGTCTGTGTTTTCTACCTTTGCCATGCTGGGCAGAACATTTACTTCCATAAATAACAAAATAAGGCACAGTGCCTTGACTGGAACAATACACAAATAACCCGCACGTAGAAGAGAGGAGCATACGACGAAAAGTGTTCTTGTCTCCCTCTTTCTCCGTGCTCTCCGCATTTGTGATCCTCAGAGCCTTGAATCAGAAATTTCCACTCTTCATAATTCATTTTCCCTTCTAGGCTAACCTTCCCATTTCATAGACTCTGCCTTCTCAAGTGCTGAACGAACTTTCTTCTCTCCCAAACTCTCTACTCGTGTGAACTCTCCTGTTTTCTGCCTTCCCTACATTTTTGGTCTTTTTAATCTCAACAATTCTCTCCATTCCTTAGACATCAAACTTACTTTTCGCCAGACTAACACCTTTTGCACCAATCTAGTTTTATACCTCTCCTCCCTCTATAGATGTTTCCAGGTGTCTACTCTTTTTCTTTTCCCGTCCTCTTCAGTATTGGAGGAAACTGCCAATCTCTTTCTGACAACTTAGGGAGCACAAAGTAAGTTAGGTTTCTGATACCAAAATGCTCTTTTCTGTCAGTCAGAGATCACAGTATCTATTGACTGGTCTTCTGCCTAAAACTGTCTTCCCCCTACTTCCAACTTTCACAGTCGCCATCTAGTTGAATCCCTTATACAAAAACTTTCCTTGTTTGAATCTTAGTTGTGGCTTTGTCTTGTAGATGCATTCCTCTCCCACTACATTGTACAATGCTCCGAACTCAGAACACCCTGACTTAACCTAAAATTTTTCCCCTTCTCACTCTTACCTTTTCCTCTTTGTCCTTGGGGTTTTCTTTCTTCTGCCTTGGGTATTTGTCCTTTCATCATTCTCCCCATCCTCTGTGTTCTTGCTCCTACCCTTGTTGGCTCCTAGTCCCTTGCAGTGCTCTTCTTTCTTGTATTTGAAATGACTACTACTGGTACTACTACTAGTTACAACTGCTAGTTTCTACTACTAGTACTACTAAATAGTCCTACTACTAGTACTACAACTAGTACTATGTAGTAAATACTTAGTACTACTATAGTACTACCTCTCTTGCTCCAGTCATTGTCTGCTGGCCTATATATACTCCCTCCTTCTCTCTAATAAGACCCCATTCAGTTACAAAATGTAGCTAGAATTGTAATACCACGACTGTAAACAGTATGGATGGGGTTTGAACTGGCTTGGTGTTTTGCGACTCACTTGCCATGAGCTCTAACCTCACCCGTACCATTATTTTATAGTTAGAATTCACACTAATTACTCTACAACGCATCATATTAGAATTAATCCCTAGACCTTCATTAACATTATGGAGAGAAGCTGTCACAAACCCAAGCACGAGCAAACAATTTTACCAAAAGCCTTAAAACACATTCGTGTTTCCCATATGTAGCAATTATTTATTTATTATACACGTATTAATATCTCAAATTATCAAATATGCTTGAATTAATTTTAAGACATTTAATTCTTAATTTTTTTTTATTATTTGCAGCCACTGCCCAGCCCTTCGTACTGTACTTTAAAACAGACGGGGATGAGTTGCTTGATAACTGTAACCGAGGCTTCAGCCTCAACTACCGACAGATTATAAGCTGCGTATAATGACCTGCTAACAAATACCACTAGCACTAGCAGAAGCAGCAACAACAGCAGTTGTAGTCGACGTCGTCACCAAGACTACAACCTGGATGCTGAAAGACTCTGAAAATCTATCACTTGATAATGCTGAACAAAAAAGACTGGTTGTGGAACACGCTGTCACTGGGACTACGTTTTACTCTGTGTAGATTTTGACTCAATACCCAGTATTATGCCTACATTAATGGTATATAATACTCACAGGTTCATGAATAAGACCCAAGTGTAATACCTGGGTATATTATTGACGTGCCGTTTCACGGAAAATATGCTTTCTCAGACTAATCAAGTGGTATGTGACAGTAATATCCTTATATTACTTATAAATAATACCGACCAGTAGTAAAATGTGCAATGCCCGGGTTTTATTATTAAAAAAATTCGTCAACTACATGATTTTTTAATTCAATACATAGTTTATGAACCAGAGACAGTTGAAGATGAGGTAATCAGTCCCTCTGCCTTGATAAAAAGTGTCCAGTATCGTAGTCTGCAACAAGCTAACACAGAGGAGGGAGAAATGCTAACATTGCAAAGCTACTGATTACACACGAAGGCGTTTGAGATTTCTTGAGCTGAAGGTTTCCACTTAACATGGCTGGCTTGTCTTGTGTTGGTAAGATCGCCTGTTTGCGACTGTTGCATATATATGTATGTCGTGTGGAAATTATTTAATTTCCGAAGCTATATTGCCTAATAAGTGTTTAATGTGTTGACTTGGGTCAAAATGTATTTGTATTTTGAATGGAACCAACTGGGTTCCCGCTGCGCCTGCGCAGATGTGCGGGGGTATAGGTCGAGCTGGGGGACAGGGAGGCGGGAGTGTTTTGAAGGTAGTGAGGAGGCTGTGAAAACCTGGGATCAGGAAATTGGCGTTCACGGCGGCCTAAGGATTAATATGGGCCTCACTTCATAATAGGAAGTGTCGTAACTGTTCCTGGTGAAGAGTGAGGGAACGTGATTTACGGGACCACCGTAAAAAGGTGGTAAAATTAGTGAATAATGGTTTGACCGGGTGTGACTGGTGCGCGGCCATGGTGTGTGTCCAGGGGAAATACCCATGTGTTAATCCTCACTCATCGGCCTCAGATCTTAATGTGTATAATAATTATGAGACGTTAAATCGTCTTGTGAATGGTAATGTAATCAGTGATAATAACATTAAGTTAAGAGAGTGCGGGATGTGAAATAGATCGCCCTGCTCCGAGTGAACGCGTGATTCTCGTACCGAGGATACCTGGAGTTTACCTGGAGAGAGTTCCGGGGGTCAACGCCCCCGCGGCCCGGTCTGTGACCAGGCCTCCTGGTGGATCAGAGCCTGATCAACCAGGCTGTTGCTGCTGGCTGCACGCAAACCAACGTACGAGCCACAGCCCGGCTGATCAGGAACTGACTTTAGATGCTTGTCCAGTGCCAGCTTGAAGACTGCCAGGGGTCTGTTGGTAATCCCCCTTATGTGTGCTGGGAGGCAGTTGAACAGTCTCGGGCCCCTGACACTTATTGTATGGTCTCTTAACGTGCTAGTGACACCCCTGCTTTTCATTGGGGGGATGGTGCATCGTCTGCCAAGTCTTTTGCTTTTGTAGTGAGTGATTTTCGTGTGCAAGTTCGGTACTAGTCCCTCTAGGATTTTCCAGGTGTATATAATCATGTATCTCTCCCTCCTGCGTTCCAGGGAATACAGGTTTAGGAACCTCAAGCGCTCCCAATAATTGAGGTGTTTTATCTCTGTTATGCGCGCCGTGAAAGTTCTCTGTACATTTTCTAGGCCGGCAATTTCACCTGCCTTGAAAGGTGCTGTTAGTGTGCAGCAATATTCCAGCCTAGATAGAACAAGTGACCTGAAGAGTGTCATCATGGGCTTGACCTCCCTAGTGAAGCTTTATGGAATCACGACTTCTAAACCGGGACAAACCGACGGATACCTCGTCCTGCTGGAATAAGAACCGTGTCGGTGTAGCAGGACATCAAAATGAGATGGTGAATGGAGGGAATAAGGAGTATCAATCACCCACAGTTAAGTAACCCTTCTAGCTATAGCAGACTGATACTGGCCAGTTAGGTATGTTGTAATTGGATAGGTTATGGGTGATCCAGCTACATCAAGTGACCACCAGAGAATATCTGGTAAGTGGTGAGATTATGTACAAGTGTTTTCCTTGATGGATATATCCATGTGTAACCTACCCACCCCCCTTCATTCAGTTAAACTAATATAATCTATACAGTCCACAATTAATTAGTAGCACCGTACTTGTGGGTGCTATCCAATCTATACTGGTCTGGGATAGATATGGATAAGATTGTGAGGTTCGGGAAAACCCACTTGCCGTGCCAGGGGTGGTTAAGTTTTCTCACATGTCTACACGGGGTGCTAGGTAAAAAATTATGGTTGTCTCCCAATGAGTTTATTGAAAGCATTAATGTTGAGGTACTAAAGGAAATCCCCCCATAAAATTTTCCATATCTGCCCGTGGTCCTTCCTGAACCGGATGCAATCAGTAAAAAATTAATTGAATTAATTATTAAATTTTAATTTTAAGGATGATTAAAGGAAGTGGGTATGGGGTACACAAATTTAATCGGTCTGTGGTGGAGGAAAATTAGCCCAATTAATTACTAACAGGGGGGGTTTTATAAAGAGAAAGTGAAGAATTACTCCCAAAAGGTGTCTATTAAGTTGTATAATTTGTGATTTTTTTTTCCCTCCCATGGCGGGGTCTGAGGAAGTTTGCGGCTGGCAAGTCATGGATGCCAAAGCAAAGAAAGCGCCCTACAACCCGGGAAGGGTCATGTTACTAAATCATACAACAAGTGTATGGATTTAAATGAGACAAGAAACGGAAACCCTGATAATTTAAAGCTACACCTAGATGCCTTAGAAAGTAGATAGAGTCTATAGTTGTGGTTAAGGCTGGGGAAGCGTCTTCTGGTGAATTGTGCAGATGATGCTGAAAGGGGAGGGGTTGGATCAAAATTATGAAGGGGGAGGAAAACATTGTGTCCTGCAAAACTAAGGCTTTAGAGAAGGTAAAGGGGGAAAACAATGTTTTTGGGGTCAATTAGAAAGGGAAAAATCAGAGGTGTTACCAAAAACCCCAGAATTAGCATCCCTGTGTTTAATCTGGGAGAAAAACGGGAGGATTTTGGGGCTATTTTTAAAAGCAGTGAATGATGGGAGTGATCTTGCAAGGTTGCCAAATTATGCTTTTTTAAAAGGGGAAAAGTAAGGGGAGATGCGCATGCTCATAAAAGCTTTCCCCAAATGAGATGCTCCTAAGTGGGGCTTGACTTTGGAGGCACTTACGGTAACTTAAGCAAAGTAGGTTGGATCTAGTAGCAAATTTGGCTGTTTGAAGACTCCAATAAAACCGCAACAGCTTAAGCAATTTAGGATCAAACGGGAAAAAGCCCCTTTTAAAAGACCTTGAAAATAAATATGATTGGGGGAGCAGGGGTGGTTTTTTGAGCGCTTTGATCAGTAAATTGAACCACAAGACATTTTAGAGTGGCTTTCAAACAGATATCACAAGGGTTACTCGGGTTGGAAAAAATAAGAGTGGGTGCAGGAGCTAATTGCCCAAACGAGCCCAGCCAACCCATTACCTCGGGAATACCAGTTAAGACCCCAGTGAACCTGTCAATTTCCCAAAAAGGAAACTTTTCCCCAATATAAATAAACATAAGTCCCCTACAAAACGGGGTTACGTAGGCACATATCAAGTGACAGGGTCCAGTATAGTGGTTCCCCAATCAAAGCAAGGGAGGAAGAAACCAAAATAAGGGTAGCCCATTGAAAAAGGGTCAGGCAAAGAAAGGGAGATTGTTTTCTGAAGGGTACTCTTTCTCTAAGAATGTATACCTATAATTCATGGTTTTTAAAGTGGAAAGATTGGAAGAGCTTGCTGATGTAAGGTGTTAGGAAATCATAATTAAGGGATTGCCCTTTCTAATTGCCTATTTTTATCAGGTAACAAGGGAAGACACCAATAGCTATGTGTAAGGGCGGATCCAAACGTAATGATGGTAACAATAGTATGATAGTGTATAACCCCGGCACAACAGTACCAATAAAGTTGCAGCTAATGTCGGTAAGAGGCCCAGCGGGGAGCTTTTCCTGGTTGGATGTGGTGATTAATGATAAACGGCCCTAAAAACCAAAACTGTAACAATTTCTGGATCAGGGTCAAACTTTCCTTCAAACGTAATTGCCTTAATGGGATAAGGGGACAAATGGGAATCTGCTATACTCAAGTTATTTGGGTTTCTCCGAAAAAGAAGGCCGTCATACACACTGTTTAGTAATGTCAGTGGGAAAAAGAAAAAAATTTAAAGCCGTAATTGTGGATAGGCTCCCCGAGAAAATATCTACAATAGGGGTTGGTACGCTCTGAAAAGGGTTTCAGTAAAGGGAAAAATTTGGCACCCTTTTGGATAATAATGATTTGTGGGGCAAAAATTTTTGATAGTAGTACCATTATGCCCCCTTTGTAAAGGGTATGACAAAAAATGCGGAGTCACCCTTCTAAGGGCCGCGGAGGTCACGTGATGTATGGAGGTTCCTGGAAAGAATCGGGGAAGCCCCCCCGTTTACGGGGTTTTTATCATGAAAATCACCCCAGTATAAAAACCCAATAAATGATTGAACCTGGTTTTAAAAAAATTTTATGGTTGGACACGGGTCAATGTAAAGGGGAAAACCAGAGGTTCCTTTTATAAAGAACAATACCCGAAGGTTTTAAAAATTTTAAGGACAATATTAACTTCCGTGGAAGTGAACCTGTAAAAATTAAGGATGGCGTAGGACAATTAAAAGAGGATGTATTCCTTATTCGAGTGTATTTATTGTTGGTAATGTGTTTATAATGGGGAAGTAGTTTAGTGATTTTTATGTAGTTTAATGTGGGATGTATTTATATTATTTTTTTGTTTAGTGATTTTAGTGTAGTTTTTTGTTTGGAATGTAGTTTATTATGTAGTGTAGTTTAGGATGGAGTGTAGTTTAGGGGCATGTATTTATATGGTATGTAGTTATGTGGAGTGATTAGGAGCAAAATTACTTTAGTGATGGTAGTTTGTTTATGATGTTATTTAATTTAATGATTGTAGTGTAGTTTAGTGATTGTAGTGTAGTTTAGTGGTGATAAGTAGTTTTGATGTAGTGTGCTTTTTGTGATGGGAGTGTAGTTTATAAGGGAGTTTGTTTACTAAGCGTAGTACAATTGAAAATGGTAAGTAGTTTATGATGGGTAGTTTGTTTAGCAAAGGGTAGTGTATTTTTTTGTGATATGTTTAAGTGATGGTAGTGTGTATGTGATGATCGTGTATTTTGACGTTAGTGTGGTTTTGTGTTAGTAGTGTAGTTTATGATGGGAGTAGAGTTTAGTGATGGT